ATTTCCTAGATTTTTTATTGTGTTTTCTAGGGAAAGCGAAATAATGTCGATCGGAATCCATTCCGAACATTTCCATGATAGATACCCCCTGGTCCCGTAGAATTGACTTCTCCCGATTCGCCTGCCGAATCGACGCTTCCTCTTTTTCTTTTCTCTCTCGCAGATAGATTTTCACACGCGACGGGTCGATTAGCGCGGCTCTCTGTTACCTCGCGGGATTAACGACGGGACTGTCAGATCGGATTATACCTCGCGTTGAAGTTTGCACACGTATACCTCATTTGCCCCGGGAGATTTGCGCGAAGATACCGCGAAGTCCTGCGCTCTCGAGTCGAACCGGCGCTGGTTCGGGAAAGCGGCGAGCGGAAGTGTACGTCGAGGAAACGTCTCTTTCCCTCTCGTTTCTGAGTTTTCTATTCCCCCCCCCCCCCCTCGTACAATTCTCTCCTCTAACGATCCACGAGGATCCACGCGAAATCGCGGAGACGGATGGTGTCCCGCTTCTCGCGACGCCCCGCGCACAAAGGAGCGTCTATGTTTCCACTCCGCTGCGTGAAACTCGATATCTATCACGCACGACGACAGCTCGTACGTAGGGAGCTTATAAGTATTCCAAGTGCCCGTTCGCGAGCCATTATGTCATCCTCTTATATCGAGCACGTTCCCCGTACAATGCTCGCGGTGGTTGGTGACGAGCTCGACCCAGTAATTGTTCGCGGCTTACGCGTGCTTACGCGTACTTGTGCGCTTGTTTGTATATTACATTAAAGCCCCGGCAAATGGATGAACGTCGGACGGCACATATTAGAATAGCGCGACTATCGAGGACGATACTTCGATCTACGGAAGCGCGATCGATCGCCTCGGGGCTCGATTCTTGAATTCATTCGAAGGAGAAACGTACGCGAAAATTCTGCTCTCACAGAAAAGTTGCAAGGTGATCGGCCGTTCGCATGGTTTTTAACCAATCGACTTTCAACTTTTCAGCGAGAGCAGAGTTTTCACATACGTTTCTCCTTTGAATGAATTCAAGAATCGAGCCCCTGGACGAGTTGTTCCACGAGTTCGATAATGCCGTTCAGGTAAAACACGAGACGATCCCAAGTGGGATCGCGGGAATTCCGTGATTTGTATTATATAAATAATTATGATCGTCAACTCCCGGCCGAGCGCGAGAACGTATGAATCAGTATCGCGATGAACGGCGATCTCCTTCTGTGACTTATTAAGTTATTTTTCCGCGATTTCTAAAGAGGATTTCCGTTCGGTTTCTATAACATCCTCGTTTTTTTTTCTCTTACGCAAGTCGCAATGCACGGTCTTTCAAAATTGTTTAAATATAAATATGATAATTTTTATATAATAATAAACGCAATAAACAAAATCTGCGGGTCGCAATGCACGGTCTTTCAAAATTGTTTAAATATAAATATGATAATTTTTATATAATAATAAACGCAATAAACAAAATCTGCGTGTCGCAATGCACGCTCGTTCAAAATTGTTAAAATATAAATATAATAAATCATTTTTATATAATAATTATATATTATTAATACAGCTATAATAAATGCATTAGACTAGAATACGTGGAATAAATTAAATTTTGTTACAATAAATGTAACGAACAAATGTTACGTATCGTGACGAGGATCTCGGAGCGTAAAGGAGATTCTAGGATGCTCGTAACGTTGCGCAATCTCGTATTCCGCGCGTTCGACAATGAATATTTATCGCCGGACGATTCCGTATTCTCTCATCGCACCTTTCTGTTTTGCAGAACAAAACGGACGCCGATGTCATCAAGATGATCGCCTACATTCTTATCATCGCCGGTGCTCTCACGTTCATTATCAGTTTCCTCGGGTACTGCGGCGCTATGTTCGAGTCCAGGTGCCTCCTCTGTGTCGTAAGTCCGTTCTGATAAAACTCGTTTTCGCTCGCAATTCCGCACGCAATTCCCCATCCACGCGCGCTCCGGCAGTTCGATATAGAGTTACGCAGATATACATATATGGATATTTGCGGATTTTGTCTGTGTACTTCTCGCGTGTTTTGTATCTAAAAATAGAAATATTACGTTTTAATACGCGCATGTGCAAATATAACTTCGAGTTAAGAAGCGGACATTAATAACGCGATGACTTTTAATAAGTTCTAAAATGGCATTGCGTCTCTTAGTATGTTACTTCAACGGATAATTAGCGTTGTTTATTATTGAAACAGGTATCCAATAATTGACGATAGAGTTTGGTAAAAAAAACGATGCGAGCGACGTTCAACGCTGTTCAATTAATTTAATGATATGACGCGAAATTTTTTTACCCCGACTGTTTTTCTCTCATTTGCGATGTAATAACGAATACAAGACGATCCTCGTCGATCAAGGGAAGGACGTGAAATTACAGAAAGAGATAAATCGAAAGCGTGGAACAAATCCTCTACCTCTCAATTTGCGAAAGTGAGTCTCCGTTTTCGAAAAAATCGGATTTCGTACGAAACAATCTTGCCGCGCGTTTTTTCGATTTACCTCTTTATTCAAGATCATCGCCTTGCCGACGACGTCGGGCACGATGTCGGGAATGGAGTTACACAAAAAGGGAAAAAACCATTTTCTGTGATTACAGTACGGCATTCTAATCTTGCTGGTTTTAATCCTGGAGTGTGTGGTAGTCGGCCTCGCTTTTGGACTTAAAGGAGACGTGCGTATTCATATAATTATTCCACGTTTCTGTCAAAGTAGCGTCGACCAGATCGATCAGTTTTACACACACGGAGATAAATTTCTCTTAAAATTCACCCTGAAAATCGTGCAATCGTGGGACAACATGGCATTTTCAAGCACTTTACATTTTACTAGTAAAATATATGGTAAAATTTCAAAAAACTTATAAAATTTTAAAAAATGCCATGTCCCACGATTTTTCTAGTAAAGTTTCAAAAAAATTCTCATAAGATTCTTCGAAGTGCCATGTTGTCCCACGATTGCATGGTTTTCAGGTTAATTTTAAGAAAAAAAAACTTATGCATATACTTGCATTTATATACAAAATATATTATTTGTTATAAGATTCTTCGTGTGAAATTTATGCAGGTCGAGAAAGGTACGCAGGATTTCTTGAAGTCGACCATCGCCAAGTATTATGCGTCCAGCGGCGATAAAACTGATACGGTGACGGTCGCGTGGGACGGTATCATGAGCAAGGTAAAGCTACTAATTATCGCTAACGAATGCGCCAGTTAATGATAATTAATTTCGGGCACGAGCGGCGAGCCGAATTAATGGTACATTGATTCTTCCTGGATTTCATTTGTCTTGCATGCGTAAACGCGATTAATTCGCCGAGTGGTTCGCTAACTGCACGGCGCTTTGAGTGTAAAATGTAAGTGAAAGCTGATAATCATGAACGGGCTATCGACGCTCGCTGTCGTGCTACTTTGTAGCGAAATTACATATTACGAACGCTCGCCAGAATTTTGTTTTAGAGCGTTTTGCTAAATGGAGAAAAATGGACTAGAAAGTGGATAAGTTTAGGGGAAGCGTCGCATATCTGTACTATTTTCTTCCTCAAACTGAACAGTCAGAAAAAATATCACACAACATCATAAATTTTCAATAAGCGTTTAAATTAAGTTGCTCATTCAAATCGTTCAAAGAGAGATAATAGTTTATCTAACGTTTACAAAGATGTAATACCTGTTGTGCGTATCCATTTATCTTGTCGAGCACGGGTCTACGAGGACTCGGTAAATGGATAAGGAAAAATTTTATCGAGGCCAGGGAAGGCAAAGTGTCTGATACAAATGGGAATATCTTCAGCTCCATTGTTGCGGCGTGGAGAGTTATCGGGAATTCACTGAGAACAAGAACTGGACTATGATGTTCCCCGGAAAAGCGGTCCCCGAGGCCTGCTGTATAAAAGAAAACGATTATCTGAAGGATTCCTCGTGTCCAATTAGCCCCACCGCGTCTAACTCGTACTATCAAACGGTAAGTTTGGGTGTTATTGCTTTAGCAGCTCTTCCTTTACATTACTCAGCGTATTAGTATGCCGGCGCGTAGTTGTGGCTGTACGATCATAGGTCATACGTACGTCTATTCACGTATAACACACTTTCCCCTTGACAATTTTCTGAGCGTGACTCGACATTGGCATTGCGTGTTCCTGGTTCTCGTATACCGAAACTATCCACGAAGTCGTATTCGAACGGGTCCCGCCGTTATGCGTGACAGAGAAAACATTTATACGGGCCTTGCGTACGAACCTGGCGACTATTTTTACGCCATTTTCTTAGCGATGAGATTTAATCTTTCTGATTACACCTCTTTTAATATTAGATATTTTCTGCCATCTAATTCTCATTGTTAGATTGAAACTTCGTGAGAGCGAGGCATTTTGCGCTCGAAGTTCGCTTTTAAAATCCAAATTAACGCGCAAAACTTCGTCTGAATTTTCGTTTTCGGTTCAGCCGCTTTGTTATATTCCCCCCCCCCCTTTTAAGGGAAGATCGATCCCGAACTGACGGAAAAATTTGTACAGGTGACTATTTGAGATATGTGTCAGGATATATGTTGATATATCGTGTATTAAGAGTCGACATACACGATTACTTATTCGTAGGGTTGCTACAAGGCCATGATGACCGCCATCGAGGAGAACGCGGCGATAGTGATCGGCGTGGCCGCCACCCTGGTCTTTGTCGAGGTCCTGGTCATTATTCTGGCGTTGTACCTGGCCTGCTGCTACTGGCGTCCACAACATGGTAGGCTCGGTGTTAAAGTCACTTACTAAAACCGGGGTATTAAGCGCGCAAAAGATAAACTTACTTATTTCCGCTGAACTGATTTCCTCGGCCGTTAGGAATGTCAGCTCTGTTTCATTTACGGTAAAATGTGACATCTTTGACACTTTGCAGTTTATCGATGCGTAGAACCTTCTGGCAAGGAGTAACCTCGAGAGCAGAATGTGCTAAGCTTTCTGCCAGCAGTTCTTTTGAACGCAGTTCTTTTTCCTTTAAGGACTTCGCGAATACCTCGACTGTGTTTGTACGTGTATATTTAATATACGTATATAACACAATGTACAATATGTATACATGCATATATATAATACAAACTCGTATATGTATATGCATATATGCACGTACATGCTTTCGTGTACTTTCCAACGCAATGGCGACGCAAGTTGAATCCGATGGCATCGTACCGCATCATGCGCTTCGGCCGCATTCAGTCTCAGAGTTTATAACGTAACGAGAATCGAAGGGTTGCGGGTGAAAAGCGATTTAGACCAATCGATGGGGAGGGATCGCCGATCACGATGGCTGATCACGATCGCTTTCACGAGTACCACCGCGAGCCCTTCGATCGCTCGCACGTGCAAATTTCACCGGGAGTCGCGTTGAGCGGAAAGCGCACAGAGGATCTCTCATGATCTTTGTCGACGCGAGGGCGTTACGGTTAGCGTGTGCCAAAATTACCGCGTGGTCAATCGCGGAATCGGTTGCCAGTTGTCAAGCGTTTCAATTCGAGCGCTAAAGTGCCAATGTACCAAACGCATTCGCTTTCACCGACATTATTAACGTGGAATGCACGTCGTAGTGGGACACTGCGAGCAAATCGTTCTACGTTTCGACGCTCGTGCAAAATCTCTCCTTCCTCAGCTACCCTGAAAGCGAAGGGGGCTGAACGAAGGAAACACTCGTTCGAACGTCACGCGGACGAAAATATTTCGAGTTTTTACATTTCCGCGCGCGCGAATTATTAAGATAATACTCGTCTCTATCCGCTCAACGCCCACTTGAACGATCTGTATCAACACTTGTATTTCAAATATCTCGTCATCGCCTTGCAAACGTGCTTACTCAAAATGCTTTCGAACTCGGACCAATAACGTACATATCGTACTGGAATATCCTTCGGCCGCTGGCATCTTTTTGATCGTCCAAGTTCTCGCACGAAGAACGTGAAATGAGAGATAGCTAAAAAAAACAAATTCGCGGTAATGAAACATTCTAATTGTTCGTATCTCGGTTACGATCACCCATCGGGCAGCTTGCTCTCCCAAGGTTTCTTGAACATTCGTTCGATCGCACAGTTATTTTTCAATATCTCGCATTCCGTCTTGTCAATACGAACAAAAAACTGTCGCACGATTTTCCATAGCTTTTGGTTATTTTTTTTTATACAATAAACGACCGAGGTCGATCGGTAGTGAAAGTGTTGTTGAGTGCAGCACAATTTCACGTTCGGGCTCCCCGGCGACGAGGTGAACGCCTCGTCGCGGGTTGCGAAGAGATTACCGGTGTCATACACGCGCGTATTCATCTGAAATCACAATTCATCCCTATTAAAGTAGAACCTTTTCTCAATTTGGAAGGCATTGACAAATGGACGTTCTTTTAGCTTGTGTAGACGTATCGTCGAGACAGGCCTGGTGAGGTGCTGAAGTAAGGATGATGATTTTGATGGGGTTTGCTTTCAAGTAAGACGGAGGTGAAGCTGTCAGTTGACAGCCGATCCCTTCCTTGCTGCCGCTTCGCGCTGCAGCGTCTAGTTCTATCATCCATTCTACTTTACAAGCGTTCTTTCGTGAATTCTATGAGGCATGGTAGCTTTGCTCTCCACCCTTGCATGGCCATGCTGTTATATATTATTTGACAGAAAGACAGAGAGCCAGATGTACGGAGGCAGAAAGAAAGAGAGAGAGAGAGAGAGAGAACGAGAGAGGCCCGATTGCATCGGTTACATGGACGCAACTTGTAACAGGTGTAGAGATTAGTGTTGGTTTACTTTGAACAGGGGATTTTATCTGGAATGGCATCATGGAGTAGACGGTATCTTGTGATAATGAAAATTATAAGTGTGCATTAATAGTACGATCATTAATCAAAAAGTCATTATCTTTATTTTAGTATCTAAAAGCGTTCCTCGCCGAGCGCCACTTCCTCTAAATCGCGGCCAATTTGAAGTCGATGTTTTTCTTAACGGAGAACCGAAACTTATCACGACTTTCCAATCTTTAAAGTAATACACCCTTGTAACTGAACCTTACATTGAAATACTAATTAATTTACAGTCTATTTGAAATTAATTCAAGAATTATGACTTTCTTATCCGTGTCTCCAAAATTCTTTTCATTCCTGATCTCGTCATCTTCGTAAAGAGAAAATCAGCCTAGAATTGGTCAAAGAAAGTAGTTGAAAGGAAGTGCGTTCGGCGAGAGACACATTACTGATGACAAATTATTAAAAATGCATAGAACGATTAAAAGAAATGAAGTATGCAAACGGGAGAAAAGTGTAAAGTAGCGTAATACATTAGACGTTTAAATATGTGCAATTGTTGTTTCATGTTTACAAGTAATCTAAATGACGTTAATTATTATAATTAGACATTTTTCAAGTACTGCATATAAAGACGTTGTTTATGAATCAATTGTTTACGAATTAGTTACGAAGCAATAACTATGATTGCTAATAGACGAGGCCAAAATTTAGAAAATATACGAGTCACTAATCAAAGCGTTCCATCCATAAATGACGCATTTTCGTAACTAATACGAGTTTAACGATAGATACAAATGTGGGCGCGGAGATTTGTTTCTCCTCGGAAACGAAAATATATTATCGAATGTGTTTGTCGAGCCAAACGAGTATGCAATTGGGCCTGTAAGTTTCGTTTAAGCTTTCAGCGTGAGCTCTTTTTATTTCACGGTGTTTACTCATATCCGAACAGCTATCGGCACGAGTTATTAAAACACACGTGGTGAAATTCTACTCGGAATTGTGGTACGCAAAGTAACACGAACATTTAACTATTTCCTTTCTCCCTTCTCATTAGTTATAGTAGCTTAGTCGGCAATCTATTGTCTCAATGTTGCAAACGCTATACGGTACCTAACAGATACATCACAGAGATCGCAGGATGAGGTGTCTCATCTCACGTTTACATATGTAAAGAACACAGAAAACAAAATGCATTATTGTAAATGGGACAACGTACAATTTCGAGGAGAAGTCCATATACCTTCATAAGAAATCGATAATATGTATGTTAGTGTACTTTCAATGTTTAACACACACTGCTGTATACGCAAATCTGTACGTATGCGCACCGAGCACGCGCGGAGGGCCAAAGCCAAGAGTGCGAGAGCCAAATGAACAAAGAGAACAAAAATATATATATTTCAAGACTGAGAGAATCGAGAAACCAAATTGTACGCACACACTGCAACGATTTGATGCGGACCTTACGAATCGAAGATATATCATTTCCTTAGCGGGATGCGTGTATATATATTTAGATAGAGTATATTTTTCTAGAGTTTCTGCGATATCTCGGCGCGCGACGTTGCACAAGGTGAGACGCGAAAGAAACTTCCGATTCTTCATTCATTTCGACGCGAGATCGTAAACGACGAGTTGCGATCTTTCGGCAATACGTTCGCACGCGTCGGGTGGTATCCAGCCAGAAATGCCAAAAAGGAGAAATGATGCACAACCGATCTTACGCGTTTTCTTCCGTACCTGAACTATACTCTTCTAGATTTAACGGCGACGTCCCCACGCGGCGCGGAAGCTTTTTCGATTACATCGCAGCGAGCTGCTAGGTGGATGTTCCAACACTCCGGCAGCAATGTCGCTGCATTCCTGCGTGAATATTTGAAACGACGTTGCTGCATTCTTGCGCGCCAACGTTGAAGCAACATTGCTGCATTGCGTCAACGTTGCAGCAATATTGCGAGCAGCAACGTGCGTGTTTAGCGGTATACGCGGCAAATCTTTCGTGCTACGTGGGCGCAATCCACGCCGTTATTTGTAATCGCGGACCGCGTGCTGTACTGTGTGCGTGTGTCTATCGACACCCGACGAAGGTGATCTCGCTCGTCGTACCTTCCCCGTGCCGTGCGTGCGCGTACGTACACACGAAGCCGACGGTAATCTTAATGCGGACGGTAGTTTTACGATTACTATTTTATCATCGCTACTAATTGTTCATGCCGCACATTCTAGACATTTTCGTTTCCAGTGTTAACTTGTTGGTGCTGCTGTTGACGAGGCATTAAGAGCATGGAACTGTTGAGTAGTGCCTCCTAGCACGTTGAGCCCTTAGTGCTCCTGTGCCTTGCTTGCTTGAAACTCTAGCTGCTAGCCCAGCCTAAGGCTAGCCGAGAAGTCGGCCAAGACAGAAAAAAAAAACCAATTCTTTGACGCTTGAGTTGACGAAACGTTTCGGGAAAAAAAAGCAAAGAACAAAACGAAATGGGAGAAAAAAAGAAAGATCCCACATTGGCAGTGACGTAGGAGATATATATGGCTAGGCGCTACGCGTTTTTCTCGACGGAGAGAACTCAGGTCCGGAGTCCATCAATCTTATATATTATACGGTGTGTAATATATATGTAAGATTGATAAAAATATATATATCTCGCGTTGCGTATCGCAAGCGGTATACGCATGTATATATATATATATATATATTACGATACGAGGTATCCCAAAACGTCACTGTAAATTGCTAACGTTTCGTAGTTTTGCTAAGTGTTTGTATATTACAGGAGGTACAAGCGTTTAAAATGAGATTGAGAAGCGCGGCCGCGCGAAGACGCGATTCGACGGCGAACCCACCCATTCCTTTCCTTTACCTTTCCTTCTCGTTCTCCGGCTCTTGATCGTCCACAAGTTAACGCGGATGAACGTCGATCACGCGACAGTAGATGTACATATGCGCCAATGATATTACAATATTTTCGTAAACGTTTTAGATGCTTGTACTCACGAACTTTGAATACTCATGAACACGCGATGTTTCGTTCGTCTCTCAAAACGGAACACACAACGAGTTACTCGTGACGAGAGTTTGATGTACTCTTTGGCACAGTTTCTTTTAACATCGTTTTATTGCGTTTGGCTAAAACTTTTTTGGTGGAAGCGCTTCTTATACGTAACACTTGCTAAAATAGTCTCGCACAAAGGTCATTGTTTCATTTGGCGGAGTGTAAGTTGGGGAGAAAACACTACGAAACCCTAACGAACTGTTGTTTACTCGAGCCATTAAAGAGATACATTCACTTGCGAGCGGATGTTTTATTTGAAGGATTTATCGGCGACGAAGACGAAAAAGGCTTTTCTTTTCACGTAACATTCTCTGTAACTGATAAACAAAATTTTAGTTTTTTACTTGAATCTAATATATGCTTCTAGCTTTATATTTTTCTTAAATAAATAAATATATATATATGTACCTGAGTAATTAAAAATTGTCAGATATATATATCAGATGTATAATTGTCTGAGAAATAGGAACGGCGCGTCATTGCTGACAGCATAGTGATCGTCGGGAGCATTTTACATACGTATACACTTTGTGAGCAAGTCACGAAGTCAGAGTGTTTATATTGAACGTTAATTCTCTTTTTCTTTATCGATTGCCGTGTATGAAAATGTGCTGCACATCACTGTTCCCAATAAAGGAAGTCAACAGAATCAAACCTCCTTTTACCTCTGACACAAAGTTATCGAAGCTATGTCAAAAAGAGTATTTTATCGTACACATTTATGAGTCGTGTAACATACAATTAACGACGGGCCCTGATTACGCGTCGCTCGCCTAACAGCGAACGACGAGATATCGCACAGACTAATTGGAGGATTGAAAATTCTCATTAACTCGTTAGCTGATAGTTAAAAAAACTATGATATATAGTGAAATGCTTGTTTTTACATAATGTGCAGTTTAATTTAGAGATGAAGAACACGTTTTTTGCATGCAATATTATGCACTATGAATATTTATATTTATTTTTAAACGTTCGCATAGTGTGTCCGTCAAGTATCTTAAAAAGTAATGTAAAGGTCCTTTTCATTGCAATCTCTGATCACTACGTGAATGCCGAGATCGCGAGTACCGATTCAGAGGACACCTTCCCGTAAATTATTTCTCGCTTAATCACGGAAGAAATAAATTAAAGAAAATACTAACGTCTTCTTCCTGTCGTTTTCTCAACGGAAAATACATTGACTTGTATTTTCCTGCGCATTGACAAACCGCAGGGACTGACTGAAATCGTCAAGCTCGTAAAATCGAGCTGAACAGAGATCAATATTGCAATATGAACGACCTGATCCTTATAACGCTGTCTAATATGTAGTCCCATAATATTGAATGTATAAATTCCAGAAAAGCTATTTAAAGTCAAGAGAAAAGATAACAGTTAAAAAACGAAAAGCCTAAAACACCAGTTTAGAAATCTCACGTAGAATTTGTGGAAGTCGAGTCAAGATTAATGTGACAAAGTTTACGTGTTTACTCTGAAATTGCGATAAAAATGATTATAATGAATTATAAAGCGCGTGTTGTAGTCGTATGCTATGGTACATGATAAAAAAAATTTAGTTTCGCGTAAATCAGTATATATATATATAAATATATAATAATATATACACAAGTATCTTTTTGGTACTAAAGATACAAAGAATATAGGCTACTGTGCAAAAAATTATTTTTGAAAAATCATGTGAGATATTGTAACGATAAGATTAAAAAAAAAGACGACAAAACACAAAACACGGCCAAGAACGCATGATATTGCTTAGTTTAAGTTCAAAGTTTAAGATATTTAGTAACGTTCAGTTTTTGTTTCGGTGCAATTACGAATTATCATATGAAATAGGTGTATCAAGATGTATTCAAATTTTATATACAGAGACTGATACCTGACCTAAAAAGTGTATATATTTGAGATGCGATTATTGAGATATACAGTTGTATTCCAATACATTATTATTAACTATGAGTACTGTACAATTGCATATATTAAGAATATAGTACGATTGATTTTTGTTAAGAGTATTATATGTTTTTTGTAAAAAAAGAAAGAAGCTGTATACACACAGAACCAAAATAAAAATTTTATATATATTATTCATAAATGCCAGATAAAATGTGTAATGCGAATTGTTTTCTTCTATCGATTCGTTGCGGTCACATCAAGAATCAATCGATCCCAGATGTGGACACGAATGCAAGATATTTAAATTAATTTGACACAGAAACATTTAAATACAGACAGCTTATTATAACATTATCAAACATGCTGATTATAGAGTATGCAACTTTTATATGTGTATATAAAAATTGTACGTCCGATAAAATCGTTGTTCACATACTATATTCGAAACCGCAGTACGCGGACTCGTCCTAAATACATCCAATGTACTTATGAACATTTTTACACGTTTTCGCATATTTATATGTTTTTTATTTGCAACATCATTATTTCGTATTCACATTTTATAATTTATGTTATAAAAGATACTTGCTTTAATAGATCCGCATTTTATATTTGCATATAGATAGTTTTTACCAAAGAATATCATTTGATATGAAGCAGAATTTAAATAAAAGAGAATTGTTTTTGGCAAGTACAGCTATAGTAATTTTTTAATTCAGTTACGTCAAGTAATATAATCTAATACTATTCTTATGATACATTTTTTACATTTGGTTCAATAAATTTGCTAACGACGATGTTAAAATACAAAGCACATATCTACAGCACCAAATTCAGGTATCGAATATGCGTTACTCACGTAGAGAACATTCGTAATATTTTTTTACTTTATTAGAGTTGTCCATTTTTTATCTTCGTTGGATTAGACGTGCAACGAACGTCACAGTTTTCTCTCTCCTAAAATACCCCATGAAATGTAAATCCTCTCGTGTTAGAATAGCGCGGGCGAATTATCCCGCGAATTCTTCGAGGTGACGTTTACATTTCTAGTTCATCCACGTTGGATGATTCGGCAGACAAAGGGGATTAGGAGAGTAAAGCAAATCCTATTGAGGCGGTCCGCCCATCATACCCATCGGCTGTATGGCCTGAATTCCGTATGGTCCCTGCGGCGGACCTTGGCCACCTGCCATGGGCGAATGCATCTGCATTGCTGTGTTCTGCATTTGCTGTACAGGGGCTACTTGATTTCCCGCGGGGGACTGTTACAAAGAGCATATAATTAATTTTGCATTCCATTAGATTTCTGTAAAATTGTTTTGTCAATGACATTTCTTGATATCTTAAATTACTATAATTTAAAAAAAATTATTCATACATAATTTATGTAATCAAAAGCCTCAATTCATGATTATTCTATGAAACAGGCTTTAAATAAAATACCAACAAATATATCATTATAAGTAATATTGGTCTCGCGCTGCATACGTTATGATGTCAGGATGAAACCTGAGAAAACTAATTAATCTCGATATATAAGAAAGAGGAAGTTCGCTTTTGTCATCTCAATCTTGACAGCCTTATGATAAACGCGCTTAAAATGATCACCTGTGACATAACTTGCGGATCCGTCGGTAATACGAAATTAGCTAATAGATCCCGTACAGCTGGAAACAACGAGCATTCCGACTGATTGGCACCATACTCGGCGAATCTCTTGAGCTGCATGGATGCCGACGCGAGCGCCGATGGAGGTGGACTGAGATCTCTTCTCTCAGCTAGTTGCGTTAAATTCGTAGTGACATCGTAAACGAACGGCAGTACCAAGGACGGTTGCTCTCCTTGATACGATACACCTATTCTTACTATTTGTAACTGCAACACAAGGGCACAAGTTTAAGGATCGCCCGAGTATAAGTAAATCTTGACTGTAACGTTTGCTAAGGAACACGGATGGTACTTACGAAAAATAGAATTTTGCTCCTACAAACGTGTACTCCTTCCGTACCAGGGGGCACGATTGGCCCAGCGGAAGGCGGGATACGCAAACACAACTGCACGGACCACTTCAACTGCTGTTGCTGCACAAGACCGGGAACTAGCTCCAGCTTCATTATCTGCACAAAGTCCTTCAACACTTTAAAACGTACATTAAGCATCCTCCCGAAGCCAGACAGCGTGTTGTGTTTGTAGGGCGGGGCGGCCACTCGAGTCTCGAAGAACTTTTCAATAATCTGTGAATGAAACGACATTTAGCTTACTCGCTCGAGTGAATCGTACGTCGTGTACACAAGACGTCTACTTTAATTACCTGTAACTCTTCTAGGCTCCATTGATCTTTATAATCCGGAAGCGAGAGAACCTTGATGTGAAGAGATTGGAAATGTTGCGGATTTAATCCGACTCTGCATTGCAAGCTCTCGGCTTTGAAATGTACCACACCAGGCTCGGCATTCATACCAGTTAACTACAACAATTTATATATATATATATATTCATTAGTGATTTTTGTTGACCGTATCTGGAAATTTTAATAGTACGTATCATTAAAATTGCTAAATACGGTCAATAAAAATTACTAATGTTGTTAATCACTGCCGGTGGCTTTTAAGAATATTCTCATTAGTTGATTATATATATATTAAAAATATATTTTATGTAAGTTTGTATATTTACTCTTTACTAATAGTAACGATTGCAAGTTGTACGATTTTGTGTAGAAAGTACTCTCGTGCCGGATAGACAAAATTTCAAACTAATACGGATTTAGTATCATAAAAAAAGACAAATTCAGTATAATTATAATAGATAAAATACTTTTGTACCTTCATGAAACGCTATTAATTTTATATTAGAAGTAAAATTCTAAATTATGTTAAGATCTGCACACAAGTTTCCTTACGCAATCATCCGTCTGGATGAAGCGTTGCAGTTGTCTTCGCATGTAGACGCAGCCCAGAAATCTCTCGAGCGGCGACATATCTGGACCCGGTAAGTTGGAAGGATGGAGGGACGGGCAGCAAAGCAGTTCTAGGGCTTCGTGCGTGAGAAGCGTTGGCACGGCACCTGCCCAGGATCTCTGCGGTAATACTCTGGATATGTGACTACCAGTCTTGTGATCGGAGGCTTGCGGGCTGTGCATCGCCACGTGACCAGGACTTTGTCCCGGTCTTGCAGGAGAAGGCCTTGGTACACTCGGAGATCCAGGCCAGTTGGAAGCAGCCGGGGAAGCCATGCTTTGAGAAGCCGGGAAAGGACTGCCGTCGATATGACCTGAATATCGACGTGTAATTATTAACGTTGTAAAAATAGATTTGCCTCGCTTGTTGTTTAACTTGGTACTCCAATAATACAACTTCAAAATAAAAACTATTATTCTTTGGCATTTTTTTCAAATGCAACAAAATATATAGAGGCTGTCAGTTAAGACAAAGAGAAAAAGATTAGTTTTGAAATTTATTAAAAAGTAAGACGAAATCTTGAAAGACGCAAGTAAAATATAATAAATGGGAAAAAATGATTTTCTGTCACGCGTACCTGTTTGCATGAACGATCCAGCGGGAGAGTGCCCTACTTGAACATTACTACAAGGTCCAGGCGATGACGTTGGCATGAGACCAGCCGGACTAGGAACATGCATCGGATTTAGAGGACTATTCGCAACGAGTCCTGAACCAGGAGACGGGTGTGGTAACATATTAGGTGTATTTGGCGGTAACGACGGCGGAGATGCTAAATTAAATGAAGTCGCAGGACTGCTTCCGAAACTTTGATGTTGATTTGCCTGAAAAAAGTTTGAGATCAGTTGAGGGACTTATAGAGACGCTGACAAATCGATTTTAAGTAGAGAAATTATTACTCCATCGTGATAGAAACAAGAAGTAAAAAGATAAATCTCAAGGTATGAACAAAGTAACAAATAAAGTGCATCTTTTGGACGACAAAGGCCTAAAAATAATGATCTATGTGTTACCTCTGGACGATTTACCTGGGATATATTTGCAGTATGAGGACTTGCTGGTGTGTGAGGATTACTACCGGACGGTGGTGTGAGCGGCGGATGAAATCTCAGCCCCTCGCGTTGTTGGGCGGGCGATTGCGGCCCGCTTCTATGATGACCTAAGAAGCCCACGTTGCCTCCAGCACCGTCGCTGTCCATAGTGACGGGCGACGGTGGATTATCGTCCTCCGACTGAGACCTCCTTCTAGATACCGCATTCTCGTCGACATATTTCGACAGGAATGCCTACGGCGATACGAATACGATTACCTCGAACAAACTCTTTCGATTATTAAGAAGACGAGTCTTTTTTTTTCTTTCTCTCTATCTCACCTTTAGGCCTTGCGTAGGTGTGAACTCGTCGACGACGTTGCTTCTGTCAAAACGACTGTAAGCACCGTCGCGTAAACTCACCAGACCTCCGCTTCGCATACGCAACTCCAAACAATACATTCCTTGATACGCTATCCTTACTAAAGTGACACATTGTGGGATAACAGTAAACGTTTGTACCGGCACTCGTGGTCTCTGTAAAGAGAAATTTAGCCGTAAGTCTGAATCGAAGGCAGATAAGCTCGTGTATTTGTATCGAGCGTGGCGCAGAGAAATGTACGCTGCTTAGTAAATAGATAAATGAAAAGCTCCGAGTTCAAGTCCAGCCACGGACCGCTGGTTCTTTTCGGACGCCACTTCTTGGAAGGAAATGACAACCACCGAGAGTATCTGGTCACGTACCCCTTTAGAGGTATAGCCCTCCAGGGGGACAACCTTTAACAATCTGAGCAACCTTATCGGCGACTGGGTAACCAACCCCAGTAAAAATTCACTGTTGCGAAAGCACACAATGAGCCTCGGATGGAGGCAATTTGTTGTGAAGGCCAGGGGCCACTTGGGACCGTAGAGCTGGTTATGATAATGATGAAGCGCGTGTACTTACCGCATGCACGCATAACTGAGGGATCGACGGTAATTTATTGATCGACGTGAGCGGCTGAAGCGTTTCGTTAAGTATATAAATAATTTGTGCCAGATTCATATATCTATTCAAATGAGCCTCTAGCTGTTCCTTCACTATGGAATGCGCGTTGAACACCGTGCTCGTTGGACCTACAAGCAGAGACCCTCGTCATTATGCAGTTTGATCGAGCGCTCCAAGTTGGATATCAACGCAGATAACTTACTTCTACCAAATACCAGCTTGAAAGCCTTGTCGTTTGTACTCCACTGTACAGTCACAGTTGCACCTTGATTTGGACCATACGCGAGAACCAGCTTGCTGTAGCTGTAAGACTTAACGCTAACCATGTTGCGCAAGTTGTATTTCTCTGAAATGGAGGAAGCAGGCATTGCGCGAGATTACATAAAACGTAAACTTATGTGATTCGTGAGATTTGATCGCAATATATAACGCACCCATTTTGAAATATTCAGCTAAATCGGAGACAATCGAGTACAAATGCACTATCTGTGCCCAATCGTTTAATAAGGCATCTACAGTGCGGGAGACGGTATCGGCCGTACCCATTTCGTATTGAAAATAGACTGGTCTTCGTAAACCTGCAAAAGTAAAAAATTTGCACTAAACTTTTGTTTTTATTGAACCAAGCAAAAGACAATAACGTGTTTTATTTGCTGACGAAAGAAGATTTCGATTTCGCTCGGTTAAAACAGAAATTACGTGTGTCACACAGTAACAGAAACAGTATCGATACCTTGTTCTTTGGAATGACTGCTAGAGAGGGGACTACCGCAAAATACAAATTCCACCGTCCAAGTTTTAGCCATGCCTTTGCCCTGAACTCTAATCGAGACGCTCAGGAGCCTCTTAAGAAGAGCATGCCAAGCGCTGCTCGTAGCCGTGGTCGGCAATGGCGCAGGTAATTGAACAAGTTTGAGCACCAATGCCGTGGCATTTGCCTCAACCTGGAGACCTTGATGGGCTATCTCTCGTCTAGTAAGCTGCGTATTAATATTAAATTGAGACTATTTGCAACACGCAAGAATTCGCCGTTATGTACCGGATATCTCGAGGCATTTACAAGGGACACGCCGTACGTGAGAGATGCATGAGAAAGTAAAAATCTTACTTCTTGAGCTAGAGTTACGAACGGTATACGCTCGTCGCACAAGGCGACGACGTGCGCCAACTCCGGAATAAAGTAAGCCGGATGTTTTGGTCTTCTATTCTGTGGCGTTCCTGCCGCGTCTGTCCTTCCCCCGACTCCGGTGCTTCTACGTTTGTTGTTGGTCGTCTCCACCACTTCTGTAATGCACCCCCCATCTTGATCATTATTCCCTAAAAAATCCACCCATTAATCCCCCTAAAAGTAGCAGAGCAGTATGCCGATACCACACTGAACGATGCCAGATGTTAATTATTATCCGTACACTGTACTATATCGCATATATCGATAACGAGCAAAATGAGTATATTAGTAAGTTAGTGAGAGAAAATTGATCTTGACATTCTCAGGCAGAGTAGATTATATGTACCTATAATACGAGAGTATTACGTATATATTAGCTCGATAACACTATTTAAGCTAATAAAATAAAAACGACTAATCGATTATTTACATGTAATACCAGTTTTGTGAGCAAAACGTTCCTCCTTTTTCATCGCTCTCGAGACGGAGGGGAAATAAAGAGAAATATCTTTACTTACATGTATGCATGCATGTGTCACAATTATATTAATACCAATTTTTTAAAATGCTCGAAATATTCGCTATAAAATCTGGTATTGACATATAAGTAAGAATCATCCTGTACATAATACAAACAGTATACTTATACCTATCACTAGTGGTTAGAAAATATTAAAAGTTGCTAGAAATCGTTAGTAAGGAAACTCCGTTATGTAAAATCATAGGGATTAATTCCAAGATTGTATTACAAGCTACACTCACTTGATACGACATATATCTTTTACCTATTTATTCACGCACCCATGCTAACAGTATAAAATAACCGATAAGCTAAATTTATATACAAGTACATGCACATCCATATAAATCATTTACTTATCCATGTAACAATTCAACAACGAGATATCACAGTATTAAATATTATCGTAGCAATTGACTTTTGATATCTAACGTTTGGAATAAGGTCTGCAGTGTCGAGAATAGAAAGGGAAAAGATGACGTACAGTTATTAAAAATGAGAAAAAAAACGAACAAAACACGTGATTTAATAGAGGACAAACGTATACGTATACTTCTCGCACTTATTCTTAGTACGAGAGAGATCCAAGATATAAAACTACTCACCACTATCGACACTTGTAAACGGGCCATGTGTAATTACGAAAGTGTCAAACTCAATAAGGCTTTGGACCTTGAGATACATTTTCGGTATTTCCGTTTCTATACTATCATCGTGCGGATCATCTTCGATGGAACTGTGCTTCACTACAGCGAGATAAAAAGAGCACTCTATTTCGCATGGCGAGCTTTCTTTCTCTTTGAACGCGACAATCTAGAATAAAACAGATTGCAAAACATACATACACATGTACGTACACACCTAGAACAAAATAGATCGAAGTATGTTATTCTGAAAATATATACCAATATGACTGTAGGATGTCTGTGCAATTGTACGAACATCCGATGTCGACTAATCTTAGACATAGGATGATCCGGATGATGCAAAACAGGCAAACGTTCGTGCGAGGTAGCTGGTAGATGCTGCAACGTTTTTTCGCAACGTCTCTGCGTTATCCAGAATCTGTCAAAATCGATTTTAGTCTCCAAGTATAATAAGCACACGGGAGCATCGAGATAAGTTAGTACCTCAATTCAGATATAAGTGTCGGAAGACGCGAATGATCCCCGTTCAGGGCAGTTGTTAATTCTGGAACAAGCGGTGCGTCGTATTGAGGAACGTGACACTGTAGCATACCGGTATGAGTGTCGACTGTGACTAGCAAAAGCTCGGCACGTAAGCATGGTTGCAATATAGGTACTGATAGAATAGCTGGAGATCCCGCTAAGGTACCTAAGACGTTACTTAAATTAATATCTTTCTCACCTTCAAATATAAGAGGCAAAAGGCGAAAAACATATTCTTCACTTACACTCAACATCCTTCAGCATCGTTTGTAGCTCTTGCTTCAAATCGGACAAACGACTTCGCGTACGAATGTAAATGGTATGCACAAGTAAACATTCCATTGACAACTGATCCGACCTGATGGCTCTGTGCGCTATCTCGCTTTCCTGCATTACACATCATGATATAATGTTAATGTCACGTTTGAGAAATATAACCGTGTCACTTTACCTTACTACCCAACGACGGAATATGTACAACTGCGAGGGGCCTCGCAGGGTCGTGTTGATCCACTTGAACGGTTAATTTGTATCCAAGCTCCGATCGTGGATCCTTACTCGTTAATTCCCTGAAAAGATAATCATGCACGAACATAAACGTCGCGTGTATATACGGATTCTCCTGCAAAATTCCTTTTAAACGCATTACTCTTACCTCCAATAAGATACGGAGAGACATTTGCCAGGCGTGTATTCGTCCACGTGAATATGATCGTCCAATCTGTCGCGGATCAGCCTTAACGTTTGAGAATACAAAACTTCTAGTTGTAACGACTGACAGAAGTAATGCAAGATGTGATACACCTCCGACAGTGGATTAGTACTTTCAGCCAGTCGCGATTGAACAACCTGTCGTAGAGAGAAACTTCATGTCTTAAACATCTTAGAGATTATAACTTATATTAAGGCCTGTGTCCACGATGCTACAACTTGGACCAAGTTCTAGCATCGTGGACACAGGCCTTTAGGACTATGTGACAAACATACCTGGTGAACATATCGGGTTTGCAAAGGATGTACCAATACCTTCCCATCGCCGGTCTCCCTGTCCGAGACCAGAATTTCCAATTCTAACAATCTCCAGGGTACTGCCGGTCCATCACCCATGACCGTCAGAGACACCGAAAACTCTTGCTCGACAAGAAACGTCACCCTTCCTGCCTCGATCTATTTATCGATAATAAGTTGAATACAATATAATCAGTAATATTTTGCTCTTATAAAATAACATCATAATGTAACTTTTAGTGGAATTTATGTTTGTCTCATTCTATGTACTTACTTTTAAGTTACGCATCTGTGGCAGCAAGTTTCCGGTGACCAATCTGTGTTGAATAACTTGATTCAATCTCTGCAAAGTACTTCTCTTTTCTGTAGGAGTGATGGGATCCGGAGGCACTATTCTCTCCTATTCGAAAATACAGATATAAGAATTTTTCAAACTGCACTTCTCAATCGTTTTACCTGGACTTCTACATGGACGAGCGCGCTTTCTATTTTATTTAAAAATGCGACAAACGCATTTCCATTGTGCATGTTAATTACAAAAGATAATATAGCCATTAAAAAATTGCGAAACGATTAAAACTTAATCTACGCGTACTCACTCGAATGCAAGCCGGTAATCTACCATACGTCCCGGTGGTAAGGACTTCCACGGCGGCGGGAATATGAAAATTCGGAAGTCTGGCGTGCACCAAGGTTTCACGAGCCATCCTCGCCAGCATGTCCGCGGTATCGACAAAAAGTAACGACTGCTTATCTAGGAACGCCATAATGTGCTGAAAGGAGGAACAAATGATCAGACTGTGCATTTTAAGCTGGGTATACGCAGTATGTGAAAATGTTATATCTTACTGTAGATTTGTCGACTTTCGACGCACTATTCGCCCATTTCACCAGCGCCAATAGGCGAACGTACAGCTGCCTCGTTCGGGCGGAGAAATTGTAAATTTCAATCTTGCGTTCCATATCCGTTTTGCGAGGTAGCCTGAAACGGGACGAGCCGGTAATGCAAAAGTAAATCGTGCCGCAAAGTGTTGTACACTCGTTGACGTCACGTATCTCCTACGTACAATTCAGCGAGAACGGTGAGCTCGTGATACGTTCGTTGGATGATAAAATCTATGAGCATGCCCAAGGATATGGAGCCGCCACGATTGCCTTCCTGCGGTATGTTGTTCGTGACGGGAGTTTGATGACCCTCCAAAGGTACCGGTGCCATCTTGATATCGCTTCTGATACGAAATGCTACAACTTGATGCACATACAGTGCCAGTAGATACTCCTCTGCAAACGACCAAGATTTTATTGTCACTTCAAAGATGTATAGATAGACAAAACGATATACTTTTATTTTAAATTAATAGAGGAAAGTCCTCTACTATGAGATAGGTTTCTAATATAAACTAGCTGGGTTTTCAGCGCCCAAATTCAATCACTGAGGCATGTCTCAGTGGTTGAATTGGTGAGACGCTCCACTTAGAGTGTAGGGAGGTCCAGGTTCAAACCCTGGCGGAGGTAATATTTTTCGCAATAAATTTTCTCTAATTAGAATTGCCAGCTGCGTTGTTTATCAATTTTCCCACATTGGTTAATTATGTACTGGCGACAATAGGTCGTTCTTCTTGTTCTTCTTCAGGTTTTTTGGCTCCCAGCTGCTACAGCGTGAGCTGACACAGCTACGACGAACCGGTAGTCCCAATAGTCTCTATAATGTTGATTAGAGTATAATATACTATCCTAAGATGCAATCGAATGACGCAACCCCGCAGGATCAAAAAATTTTTCTTGTTCTTCTTGTTATAAAATAGAATGTTTCTAGATGCTGCAAGACATTGGCCACCAGCTCAGACAGGGCTAGCCACCTTGCGGCACAACCAACAGCCGAAACACCTGTACACGTGAAAAGCGCGTGTACACAAAACTCGTCGAAGCGCGAAAAGTGTGAGCCACGACTCGCTCGCCGCCGGGACGGAACCCAGCAGGTATCGCTGTGTTCTGCGAGTCGTTACACAGTGTCTTAGATTTATACTTTGATTAAATAGCGATAGTTTTTATCAACTCAGTGTTTTACTTCAACGCGGCCGACGTCTGAACCGATTCCTAGGCTCGCAATCCCGGCCTCCGCCACGGTTATCTATCCTGACACAATAACCGATATTAATGGAAACATATCTACAATGCCGAAAACATATTGTAGATTGGGCTCTACGTCTTTATCCTAGTCGGTCAGTATTTCAATTCTGCTCAGCGGACAAGTACCAAACTTACCCTAAGCGTCCCAACGACGCCGTACGGTATCCAGGGTGTTTTCGAAAGCGCAGTCGACGACTTCCTTCAATTCCGCGGCATGTAGAGCGAGAGCGAGCCGCTTTTCGTCGCAGCTTCGTGGCTCGTGCGTTCAATTACATCGCGCACGCTATCGCATCCATTGGTACACCCGTTTGGCGGCCAGACAAATGTATTTACGCAGAAACGACCCAAGACGATCCGACACGGCACGGGCTAGCGCGACCATTAATCTAGTAGCACGGAATAGGAAGGTAACCGAGATGAGAATACCAGCTTTCGTTTCGGGCAAGTAGAAAAACAACAGGCGGGAGAGGGCAACGAACTCGTCGATTGGCTGCGCCATGTTTAGATTCCTCTTCTGAAGACGCACTTTACGTCGAAGATGGCGGACGGTATCCAAACTCCTCGCTCGAAAGAACTCTAGTCTGGCTACGTATCCAGCGACTTTCGGAAAGCGCGGGGATTCGAACTGAAATTCTGATTTTTTCCACGACGTGTGCACTCCGGGGTCTCGATTTTTTAATTTATTCGAGAGAGAGGCGTATACGAAAATTCTGCTCACAGAAAAGTTGAAAGTCGATTGGTTATTTAAAAACCACGCGAATAGCTAATCAACTTACAACTTTTCTGCAAGAGCAGAATTTTCCCATACGTTTCTCCTGCGAATGAATTCAAGAATCGAGCCCCAGGGATGGATTCGGAATTATTTCGTTTCTCCTAGAAAACACAATAGAAATCCAGGAAATAATTAAACAATTCCGAACATTTCTATGATACTTTGATAGTTTCGAGAACTTAATTAAATAATATAAATGATTTAAAATTGCACTTTTAAAAAACGGCAGATTGTACAGATTAATAGCGACAAGATATTTTACACAAAACCTGTTTCACACACGTTCGTACATTATCATTTTGTCGCGACAATATATTTATTAAATACAAAATTGTTATCTTTTTAGTACACTTATAAAAGTGTCCCGCGGTAGGGTAATCTTTCCTATCATCCTCATTCTCTTCTTCCCTTCCGTTTGCTGTGCCAGCAACTTTTTCCGTCTAGTGACATCACCGCCGTACTGAAAAAGAAGAAGCGAAGTTAGTGAAAACGATTCTTAAATTAAACGTTTACACTTATTGCAAGATACTTGGCGCAAATTTCCTTACTAATTTTGCCGTTACATCCTTTTTGTAAGGCTTCAAAGTTTCTCTCGCGATCACTTTACTTCCCACCGTCGCTTGGATCGCTATTTCAAAAAGCTGTCGAGGAATGGTGTCGAGAAGCTTGACGCACATCTTCTTGCCTACCTCGTATGCTTTCGACTTGTGTACAATCGTGCACAATTCTTCCACCATTAGTCCATTTAATAGAATGTTCAACTAAAAAATTTGTATACCAAAAACAATCTATCGCAAGATACAAAGTTATATGTGCACGGGGATAATCTATCAATAGAAATAAAAGACTCTACCTTTACTATGTTAGACAATTCATAATCAGAATCTTCGTAATCGAAACTAGCATAACCGGAACTTATGCTCTTTAAGGAGTCGTGAAAGTCGAAAATCACCTCGCTCAACGGCATCACGTACTGCAACATGAACCTGTCGTTGCCAATGGCCTTGTTCGACTTTTCCACTCCTCGCTTTTCCCGACAAAGGGACATAATTTCTGCCGCGTACGTATCTATACATTTTAAAAAGCATTGGTTAATCTGCAAGTGTTAAATAATTGAAATGAAATTGATAGTTTCCTCCTCAACATATTCTGAAATTTGAATAAATTGTATGGCAATGTGTGCACCGCAAATACCTGGCGTAATGACAGTCGCTACAATCATAGGCTCGTAAAACTCGCTAACAATCTGAGGGTCTGGAAACTGCGCTGGATTATTAAAGGTCACCGTGTCGCCCTGGTACTTCGTTATATTTTTACTGCCAAAAATCTTCGCCTTGTACGTCACCGCGGGCGCCGTAACTATCGGCTGCGCCCCGTATTCCTGCTCGAGACGCTGAATAAAGACCTCCATGTGTAACAAGCCTAGAAAACCAATTCGCCATCCCCTTCCAAGCGCGACGCTGCAACGTGATATTTTTTTCCCGTCACGTTTTATCAACACGTTACACGCGCGATTCACCGTTCACGACAAGATCTTGTATCGATAACATTTGGAAAACGATGTGCATTACGAATCTTACAAATGGCGTAAATTATACCTCGACTCTAAAGTAGCAGTTACAGCGCTGTCGTTCAAAGTAAGCCTGTCGATAGCTGCTTGTAGAGAGGCAAACTGCGACTGATCCATCGGATATACACCCGCGAACACCATTGGCTTCGGTGGCTTGAATCCCTCCAAAGACTCGACAGGCTGATTCCGTAGATGCAAGGTATCGCCAATGTGTGCCTCTTTGGATTTCATATTGCACGAAATGGCGCCTACTTGTCCAGCAAATCTAGATCACACAAAACGGATTAAAGATCTTGCACATATCTATGTACATATTTGACTCACGATGACATACAATTGCTTCAGGAAAATTTTACGAGTCATACTCACTCACATTGTCTTCACATTTTCCGCATGCGGCCTGAGAAGGAAGATACTCCGCACCTCGTACGACTTTTTCATATATGCGGAGCTGATTTGTTTGCCGACCGACAACGCTCCGTCTTTCACGTAAATCAAAGAGATCGCCCCTTTGTGCTTGTCGTACCAGCTGTCGAATATCAGTGCACGGAAAGGCTCGTCCCTGGCCACCGTAGGCGGTGGAATTCTCTCGACCACGGCATCCAGAACTTGGTCGATGTCGGTGCCCAGCTTGGCGGATATTTTAATAACGTCCACATGCTCCACGTCGAGCAACGTTTGCAACTGTTCCTTCACCCTCTCGGGATTGGCGTTCTTCAGGTCCACTTTGTTGATCACCGGTATTATCGCGAGATTCTTCTCTCGCGCCAGATAGTAGTTGGCCACCGTTTGCGCCTGGACGCCGTCGTTGGCGTCGACCAGCAGTATGACCCCCTGACAGGGGGCCAGCGACCGATGGACCTCCGCTGAAAAGTCCACGTGGCCCGGCGTGTCGATGAGATTCAGGAGGTACCTCTTGCCCCGGTACGAATAGAACAGCGAGGCCGTTTGCGCCTTCACAGTGATACCACGTTCCTTTTCCACTTGCAGACTGTCCAGGATCTGCTTGCCGGAGTTTACCTTTATAGCCCCCGTCAGTTCCAGCAGTCTGTCTGCCAGCGTGCTCTTACCATGGTCGACGTGCGCGACTATACTGAAGTTGCGGATAAACTCGACTGGCACATTGTACTCTACGTCAGCGGTCGCCTGGCTGGAGAAACGTCTGCTCGACGAACACGTCCACTTTCTGCAGCGAGACATAGAGTTAATTGAGCGCGTCGCGAGGTTTCTTGTATTAAGATTCTTGTTGAACCGAACGTTACCTTTGAGGTTTGAGTTTTGCGCTGCGGACGGCACGGATAATCCTGGTGCACAGTGAATTCAACATAGCATTACGCATTTTTATGCGTGTTATATAAAGCGAGACGAGACGACTGTGACAGCTCTTGGTCACTGTACGCGGTTCTAGCTGCCCTTATACCTTGCGCGAGACACTACCGTGTCTCGTGATTACAAACGAATCGTAAAGGCTGGTCTACAATACATGGAGTAAGCTGGAGTAAGCTGGAGTAAGGAGTAGGAGTAAGGAAATAAATCCATTTTATTTCTTACTCCTACTTCAGCTCTTAGGCTTACTCCCGGTGAATCAAAATGCCATCAATCATGGCATTTTGATTCACCGAGAGTAAGCCTAAGAGCTAAAGTAGGAGTAAGAAATAAAATGGATTTATTTCCTTACTCCTACTCCTTACTCCAGCTTACTCCATGTATTGTAGACCAGCCTTAACATTTTTCTACTGCGGTAAACATTCTCGCTTAATTTTGAAAAAAAAAACTTTCTATTTGGCGCACCATTTCGCGGCGTGGGCTAGTCTTTCCTACTGTCCTCCCAATTCGTCGTTGAAATCTAAATGTCGCTGCAAACTTTTTCCAATTCCTCTCTCGCGATGACTGATCTCACTGCAGGGCTCCTCTTCGTCAAATTTTGAAAAATGCAAGAAATGAGGTTACGTCGTTGCGTGTTAAACGTGGCAAGATAAGATTCTGTTCTTGGTAATTACTGAACTTACTGTACTTTAAATAATGTATCTTGAGATTTAGAATTAGATATTACATGACTGAAACATATATCATATAACGCAATTTTCTCCAGAGTTGGCTGCAGTTACAGTCGATAATCCATCTTTGGCGGTAAAAGACTGGGACACGAAATAAAATTCACCCTGTATTGCTTTTGCGCTCGTAATTAAATCTTATTTGCTTTTATGCATAAAGTAACACCAGGATTATGGTATGCTTTTATGCTGTGCATATGAAGCTATGCAATTTTATGCGCGATGGCCCGAAGACCGTGGCCACAAGCATGGTGTGAAGATACAAGGTGAAACCATAACTTCTATAGACGGACCCTTTGTACGAGGGGTAAGTCCCAGTCTACAATAGATGATTTAAGCCCTAAGCTTTAAGAAATTGGCCAATCACGGTCAGGTATGAGTAGAATGCGCGACTGTGATTAGTCAATTTCTTAAGGCTTAGGGCTTAAATCTCTATTGTAGACTGGGACTAAGTCCCAGTCTACAATAGATGATTTAAGCCCTAAGCTTTAAGAAATTGGCCAATCACGGTCAAGTATGAGTAGAATGCGCGACTGTGATTAGTCAATTTCTTAAGGCTTAGGGCTTAAATCTCTATTGTAGACTGGGACTTAGACGCATCAACTGCCTCAAGTCAAAAGAGAAGCAGTCAATGCGCTGGGAGGAGTGCTAAGAATTCAGTACGGTTAGTACACTCTAGGGAATTCATAGCTCTCTCGAAGCGCTTTCGAAGCGCGCAATAGCTAATTCGGAACGACTTTCTATGTACTCTACGCGCTTTATGCGTAAATCGGAACGCACCCCATGACAGCCGGCAAAGTTGTAAATATATCTTAGCGTTCTTTTTTTCTTAGAATTGTTTTTGAATTATCTTACAATCGTTTTGTTTGTTTTCTATCATGACATAAGTCACCTGTATGTTTCAGGTGCACTTTCTATGTTAAGATTTGCTGGGGATTGCAAAACTATCGTCGCAGTGTTTTTCAAAAATCGCGAGAAAGAGATCTTGGAATCACCGCGACGATACATGTGCCCGAGGCTTTCTGCGCCGATTTAACCTCGCCTGTTTCGAGAGAATGAGTACGCGCGACACGGAAATTTGTGGATTCCTCTACGTCAAGTCTACGGGAAGCGGGCACGTCGCTTATAGGGTGAAAAAGAGGACCCTGGCTCTGTCGAAGTTGTGGAAACGATCATGGTGCTCGGTGAGGAAGCTAGGCGAGGGTAGCGGTCTGCAGGTGCAGTTCAATCGAAAGCTCACCTGTCGCAGCAACGCTTTAAAGCAGAGCGAGAAGGACAGCTCTGTAACGATACCGCCAGGCGCCGTTGTGCATCGCATTTGCTCCAGAACGAAGCAATTCGCGTTCGGCGTGTCGCCGGTGGTGGACAGAAAGCCGCTACTGTCGCTGTCCGCCAACTCGGAGACCGAGACGCAACGTTGGATGACGGATATCAGGCACCTGTTGAAACCCAGAAGGCACTGCTGCGCGGAGAGGTCGTACGACATATCCATGGTCGACAATGCACACTCCAAAACGGCAGGTTTAACTGGTGGGTGTAATTGCCATTTGCACCTTGGAGCCTCCCCCTTGTAGACTCTGTGATTTACCAGTGTGATTTTTATTTCTCGGCAGGTATATACGGCGATCTGGTTGCCAACGAGATAGGAATTTTCATTAGGAACGTTCACACGGGCGAGATAGCTGAAACTTTCGAATGGAAGGAGTTCACTCAGTTCCACTTGATGACAGCGGGCCGTCCCGAGGACGTAAAGCGCATTTGCGTAATGCACACCAGCAAGGAGTTCCGCTGTGGCGTCGGGGAGCTCTACGTCTTTTGTCTCGACGCTAACAAGCTGCTGCGTGACTTGGTGACGCAGGGTCGCGGTCCGAGACATCAGCACAGATCTTCACGTTACAACAGTGATCTGGAAATGGCGGCACACAGTGAAATTAGTAGTCTTCCCTTGCAGCTGAAAAGTGACGCTGTACTCTGTACCCTTCACACAGACGCCAATTGGTACGAATCATAGAAAAAGAAGTTAAATAGCAGTATTGCTTACGTGACGGTACAGAATTAACTTTGAAAATTAGTTTAAGGACGTCGGTCGGGACCAAAGCTGTGGAAAATATATATCAACCGGAGCCCAATCCGATGTACGGTGGAAAGTCTCATTCCCGCGACCACAGGGAGTCCAATATCTCCATTACTTCTGGAATTTATGAAGAAATTAAAGATGACGTTTGTTCCCCTCGGCCAAGAACGTTACTAAGAGGTAAAGCTCCATGTAATTCGCAAGCGGATCCTCCGGCACTACCACCACGACAGAAACAGGGGCCAGAGTGCGCAGAGGAAAACAGGTATGATTTTGTTCAATTTTAAGTATCTCTCGAGAGTGACGCTAAATGTAGGATTAGAGCAATTAAAAAAAAAATTTCCTTAAAGCAGGATAGATATGGAGCAATATTCTCGTTCAGAAACTTCCGACCATTTTGAGAGGAGATTACAAAATATGGTATGTGCGCGGGGAACTGCTCTCACAGATTCTAGCTACGTTCCGATGTCGCCACAATTGAGAGACCTCGGTGTGCTCGAGTCTGATATCTCGGATAATTCGAAAGAAAATGATTACGTGATTATGCGATAATGTTATATGACATAAATAATTGACAAGGATTATAAATAATCTAGTAGATAGCAAAAACTATAGATAGGAAATATATATATATAAAAAGCCGTCCAAAATACATTATACTATCATATCTCCTTTTCTACTTAAGTATTATACTGCAGCCAGAACAGTAATTCTTATTATATATATAATTAATCAGGGATTCTCTTCACTGTTTTTGTATGCACATTTAAGAAAATTAATGAGCTTGATTTACGCTCGATTGATTTTAATTATTCTTAAGTGTATTCCATTTTTTGGTGATGCTATAATTGTTTCATAATTGAGGGCGTAAGGTATATCCGTTTTCTCGCAAGGCTCGAATTTGTAGTTTCGTAGTATCTTTATAAGCCCGAGTTTAGACTGACAAATGGCGAAACGAGAACCTGAAAGTAAGAACCGTTGATCCATAAATCGGATTAAGATTTTCGAATAAGCATTTATCGATTGATAGTGGAACAAAGATAAATAAAAGGTAATATGTGAATTTATTTTACTATACCAATGCAATTCCTTGGGCCATCCCCGAATGATATGAAAGACATCGGGTGCCTATTTTTCACCGCTTCCTCATTAAATCTCTCCGGATCGAAGACTTCTGGATCCGGATAAACACACGGATCATGTTGAAGCACGAAAACGGGAATCCATATCTTTTGGCCTTTTGGTATATGGATTTTCTCGGCGTTGTTGAAAGTATAACTCGATGTCGTTTTTCTCTCATAGAACATCCCAGGTGGATATTTTCGTAGAGTTTCTATATTGAAAGTTACGTCGTGGCAAGTTATGAAGATGCATATCACGAGACACGGTAGTGTCTCGCGCCAAGTGTAAGCGTAGCTAGTACACGCGTGCGAGACCGATATGAATTAAGAGACAAATTAGTTTTATCAGCGACATGCTTGTAATTATCGGTAATCATTACGTTACTCTCTTATTCATTCTTTTAAAATACGAATTTTCTAGCAACGTACCTTTGAACACTTTATCGAAGTATTCTATTGTCTTGATGTTCTCATAAGTGAAAATGCCATCATATTTTACGTACTTCTCATCAATCTCCTCGCGCAACTTGTCCTGTATTTTCTGATGTAAAGCCAGCTCGTATAGAATGTTAGCCATCGTCGTTGATGAGGTTTCAAAACCAGCAGCGTAAAACAGGAATGCTTGAGAAGCTAACATACTGTCGGTAAATTCTGAAATGCGAGTGATGTTCTGCTTATTACAACTAAGTGATCAATTAATTGTTGCTTTAATGAATTTAACTTTTAGCTTTATATTGCGAATTACAGAATGGAGAACATTTTAAACGCAAGAACTCGTATATAGTTCTCTATATACTAGTCTATAGTTCTCCGTTTGAAGAATCTTCGTACGACAGCAGAGTAATAACTGAAAGCAGACAGTATTTACCGATCTCGTCCATTTTATCGGAATGCTTCTTCAATTCGCGTAGCATGTCAATGAAATCGTTCCTGACAATATTATTCTTATCTCTGTAGTCCATAGTATCCACGACGAGACGCGTGAAGAAGCTTGTGATCTCCGTATCCGGCAGGATGTAACCGAGGATGTCGTACAACCGCGGCGAGAGTACTTTGATTTTGGCTCTTAGTAGATCCGACCAGGGTGGATGGAACACGTTTCTTCCTATTCTGCGAAATTCGCTGTTCTTGTTCGACATAGAATTAATCTCGACGCCAAAGACGCAGTTACCGATGATGTCGGTCGTGTACTTGGCCATCAATTCAAGGCATTCTATGGACTCGTTCTTGCTGACTAACTTTTCCATGTAATCTAGAAGATGGTCGGAGCACTCTAGTATCAACGAGAACATTTTCTTCAATTTATGAGGTGTAAACATATGCGACAGCTTCGTTCTTAAGGGTCGCCACCTCTTCGGTTCTAGATTAAAGAGATGTTGCGACAGCGGCTCGGACTGCAAAATGACAGAAACAAAATCGAATACATTTCTTAATTTGAATTAGTTTGAAATGAAATTCTAACAATTTACAAAAATTTTCTTAACATCTCCGAAACGAGTCTCACAATCTTCAGTGAGTTTCATCAATCGAATAGTATGAGGATGTATCAAAATTCTCGCAAAAAGTATCGTTTGTATTTTGCATAAATAGCTTCAAATATTCGCACCTTTTCGTGAATGGTGAATCCTCTGTCGGCAAAAGTGGGGAAATCTTTAATGAGGATATCCTTAACTAAATCTAGATCCTTTACGACAAGGACAGGTGTCCTCTGAGCAAATATCCCAATCACCGATTCAGTTTTATAGTCTTCACACAATTTCATTAAATAATTGCACCAGCTTATTTTTCCAAACAAAATATCTTTTAAATTGCCAAATATCGGCATCGGTCGTGGACCACGGACGCCACGTAATTGCCAAAAGTCGAACGTTGATGTGAGGTAATAGTATAGAAGTAGAATTACGGCGACAATGCCGCACAGTATTTCAAAGATTTCCATGTCCCGCGACTGCCGATCAATTATCACGAATGATTCTTACTGAGAGGAAGAAGAAAATAATATTTTATTAAATAAATCTCCGAAATAATCCTCTCTCTTTGAAAAATTATACAATCAAATAAAATTCAAGCAGAATATATCTTTAATGAAATAAAATATAAGGACGATGTTACATCTAATACTTAAAATTTAAAAAGCACACGTAAGCTTCGGATACTAAAGATGTAATGTTATAATAGAGAATGTTAGGCAAGAAACTTTTGTCTGTAGTTATTTTTTGGTAATTTACAACATCAACTTATGTAAAGTTAGAACAGTCCAAATGTCAATCCTAGGTTGTTTTATATTCATATGCGGTCAAATTAAGAGACAAATGACTTTCATATCTGACGAAACTGTTATAAGCATCACTGATATTTTAGTAACGAAAAAATACCTGAGGAAATACTATGCTCTCGCCTTTTGTATCCTATACTAATATGTGAAATATGTATTTGCTATATTTAATAAAAGCTATATATATATATATATATATATATATATAGCAAATACATAATTAAAACTTAAAATACCATCTTGCTTTTAAAACGTACTACATTCAATTCTTACTGATTTACACTCTTCCGGTAGTAAAAAATGTACGGCACGCGAGGGTGAAACGTATGACTAGACAGTAGATATAATGTACGTAGAGAAAGAGTGAATAAAGACAAATAAGAGACAGAAAATTAACATAAAACTATTCTAGACGAGCCAAAGGCGAAAAAATAAGTCAAATTATGTAAAAATAATACGAGAAACGGTATCCCAGCAATCCATAATGTAAGTGTTACATAATAACTCAGGGAACACATGAAGAGAACTATGTTAAATTTCACAGTTATACGTACCTATACGTATCACTCGTAATAGTTCGTTAAAAATGTTACGTAACACACGAATGACTCAAGATTCCCAATTTAAATATAATAAATGTTACATTACTGATACTCAGCGATCGCAGGCACTAGTACCACTCGTTGCCGCAACCAGGCGACCGCACAATAGATTTTCGCGCAATTAGAAATTATCCTGCCATAGTATAAGAGGTGAATCGGGGAAAGATCTGATTTAACAACGGGTTACAAGTGAATTCAACCCGAATTCCGCTGGCAAAATATTTTATTTGAAAAATTGTACTCGTATATATAGCTGACGGTTAAGTGTTTTGTAATTACAAACGAGATGTATGAGTTTACACAAATGCAAATATTTGTTTTTATCTTTCTTGGAAGTATCTATTTATATACGGGATACGTCGATTTTACAGTCGTGTTATGTAACAGTGTATATTTCAGTATACGAATTATATATGTAAGTTTTTAAATATAGAAGAAGTATAAAAATTATTTGACATATATTTGCAAATATTTATTTGATTAATGAGACGTTACTACACATATAATATTAGTACAATAAATATTATATAGTCAATTATAGTCAATAATATAGTGATTATATTATTTGGTGGAGATTTTTTTGGCAATTTAATTTTCCAGCAAAGCCCAAAAAGCCCACACACTAATCTCGATTAATTTTAATTATTTTTAAATATATTCCACTATTCGGACACAAGACGAATGCTCTAGGATTGCTTATGTAAGGTATTGGAGTTTTCTCACAAGTCTCGACTTTGTAGTTCCGTAGTATTTTTATAAGGCCAATTTTACTCTGATAAATAGCGAAACGAGAACCTAAAAATAAAATCACAGTCATATTAGTCCAATCAAGATTTTCGATTAAAAATATTTCTCATTGGGAAATGAAAAGTAATATTTATTTGACTGTACCAATGCAATTCCTTGGCCCATCGCCGAAAGGTAGATAAACCATTGGGTGCCTGTTTTGCACAGCTTCCTCGTTAAATCTTTCTGGATCGAAGACGTCTGGTTTCGAATAAATACTCGGGTCTCGATGAATCGCGTAAATGGGAATCCATACCTTTTGGTCCATCGGGATAGTCACGTCGGTACCATCGAAAGTATAACTCGACGTCGACTGTCTCATAAGAAACGTCGCTGGTGGATATTTCCGTAAAGTTTCTATATACATTAGGGATAGTGTTAAATTATGAAAATACATTTATGTACAAATTACAATAATTAGATTAAAATACATATTAAAAATTACATCATATTGTAATATCGCTTAAAAGAAGAATAGCGCATTTCATTTGATACTTTTTTCGAATGGTGTTACCTTTGAAAACTTTATCCAAATAATCCATCTCTTTGATATTGTCACGTATTAAATTTCCGCCATGTTTCGCATAGACCTCGTCAATTTCTTCACGTAATTTATCTTGTATTTTTGGATTTAACGCTAACTCGTAGAGCGTGTGACTGATAGTCGTCGACGAAGTTTCAAAGCCAGCAATATAAAATACGAATGCTTGAGAAGCTAATAAACCATCTGTTAAATCTAAAATATTACGTTCTTTTTATTATGAATAAAGCAAAAGTTTTTTATACTACTTAATCTTCAATAATTAACATAAGTATAATAACTTGATTATATTCAAAGTATAGTCGTCAAAATATGGCCGTAATAATGTAAATGTAACAACTAATGATAAAAGTAAGAAATGACCACATCGTGTATTTAAATTGTTTTTGTTTAGTTAAATCATTCTGTATATTTCTGTATACAGAAATTGTATCTACTACTTTTCTGGGAAATATTTTTCCTGTCGAAGCCATAAAATGGTCAGTGTACGTACTAATATCGCCTAATTTGTCTGGGTGCTTCTTTAATTCACGCAACGTATCAACGAAGTCGTTCCTAGTGATATTATTCGTCTCTCTGTAATCCATGGTCTCCACGATAACGCGTGTAAAGAATTCGCTGAAATCTATTTGCGGTAGGATATTACCGAGCATATTGTACAGCCGCGGAAAAGATTCTCTGATTTTTATTCGTAACATATGTGTCTTGGACGGATTGAATACTTTTCTTCCCATCCTGCGAAATTCACTATCTTCGTTCGACAACGCGTTCATTTGTATGCCGAACGCGCAGCTACCGATAACATCGGTCGTATATTTCGCCGTCAACTCGCGGCATTCTACGGGCTCGTTCTTGCTCGCTACTTTGTCTATGTATTGGACAAGGTTGTCAGCACACTCTGACATTAAGGAGAACATTTCCTTCAATTTACCGGATGTAAAGACAGGTGACAGTTTCATTCTTAACGGTCGCCATCTCTTCGGCTCCAAGGAGAAAAGATGTTGCGACAGCGGTTCAGTCTATACAAAGAGAGAATTGTTATCAAGTAAATTAAGATCAAAATTATATCCTACTGACTTGCAGTAACCTGGATGGGGTCTTTGGAGGCGAATCTCGTGATTTATGATAAATTTCATAGCACGAAAAATATAAAGGCATACGTGAATCTTTAATAAAGATGCGTCGTGTATGTCTCGTTTATGTATTCTTAGAGTTTACATATTCTTACAATACACTTATTGTAAGTATATTCTCACCTTTTCAAAAGTGGATAGTCCTCTGTGAGCGAATACGGAGAAATCTTTGATAAGGACATCCTTAATTAAATCAGGTTCTTTCACAATAAGAATAGGTGTCATCCCAGCAAATATCCCAATTAATCGTTCGTCTTTGTAATTGTCGTATGTTTCCTTCAAGTAATTTACGTTACCCGCGGCTATTCTCGAAAGTAGAATGTTTTTTAAATTACTAGGTCCCAGTGTAGGTCGTGGACCACGAACGCCGCGTGACTTCCAAAAGTCAAAGGTCGACTTGACGAAGTAATAAAAAGTGAGAATTGCACATAGAATTCCGGTAATTCCACATAGAATTCCGGGGAACTCCATCGTCTGCAGGTAAACGCCAATCAATTATCACAAATGATCACAACTGAAAGAAAGGAAAAGCAATAGTTTATTATATCAATTTCCGTCTTTAAAAATGATAAGGTTCGACAAAATCCAAATAAAATTCAAATAAAATGTATCTCTGATAGAATGCTTTAGGTCTGAAAAATGATTGAAAGAACACTCTTATAATATAAAGGTGAATATTATTCCTAAAATAATGTCTATTTAGAAAAACGCTAATGACAAGTGTAATATCAGTCCTACATATATTATATTAATGCACACGCAAAAGAAAATGGAAAGGTTGATCGTAATTTCTTAAAATTTTCTTTCAAGAAAGTCGCTAAAGGAATTAATGGCACACTTTGGGTGCATTTTGTTTCACGTACGACACACATAACACATAATACATCATTTATCCTTGTTACTCGCCAAATGTTAAATAAGGATAAATTATGCATTATCCATGAAACGGAATGTATCCATTGCGTCATCAGAGATAAGAAATTACTAAAAAGAAACGAGTGATATGGCTAAATATAAATCTTAAAGCAACACACATGCCGTGACATGGAGATCAACTTAAAACCGAAGACGTAGAATTTTAAACAAATAAGATTTTGCCCAGCAATCTTTCACGGTCACGTTCAGATTACGTAACTTCTTCCCGATTATTACTTCAATCGAAAAAGCTTTTCGTTTATCGCAAACTGTGACAGAGTTGTTTTGCGATGCTGGAGATTAGAACACGTAGAGGAACAAGTAGCAAAAGACTGTTTTCTTTTGTATTTTAATATTCGAAGAGAGAGCGATTTCGAGCGGTGCATCTTATTATTGCTGCTAGGTGAGGATAAAAAGAACACACATAGACACGTCAATGTTTTAACGATTGTCCGAGTGTATGTACAATGCAGAAAAAATAATTAAATGCACGTATGCATAATGCATAAAACACGCAGTGTGAAATTGAGCTGCGCACTGTTCAGAAATTGAAAACTCGCTGTTGAAAAGCCACCTGTCAGTGTAGTGATATCAGTGCTCGCTCGTCCGACTTGTTACGCACGATATAATATTTAAGAAATTAAGTGAATGATACCGTTTACTATTATAACTGTTTTACTCGTCATACAACAACGGGAAGGAGAAAATGTCACGCCGAAAAATCACGAGATCGATTCCTTGCTACTTTTCTATTCGAAATGATTCCAAGCTTCCATCTTCTTCGTTTGATGATGATTGACGGATGTATAACGAAGTAAACAATAATCGTGACGTACGTGAACCCACGGTGCGACTTTGAATGCGAATTTCGTCCTGGATAATGTCACGTATCAGCTCGTAAGTACGCACGTACTAATGTTCGTGCAATAGTGTAACCGCAGTCAATACTAAACTGTCGCCGTCCAAGACAAACCAAATTGTAAGCGGGGGAAACGTGTTGATGGCAAATATGTTGATTTGTCAAACGCGATATCTGGAGCATCCATTTCCCTGCGTCGTCGATGCTGTGACTCTGCAAATAGCGATAGCCAAAAAAATCTTATGTCAGTCGATTAGATAAGGTCTTACGTCTGCATGGCGTACACATATTAACGTGGATCTGAATATTCCAGCGCTAATTGTGAGCGATCGCTCTTGATCGCTCAATTTTGATTGTCTGATCGTGAGACGTGCACGCGGATCGCAAATGAACGCAAGTCAAACATAAACTTTAACCAATTCTTCTTACCAAACAAGGAGGATCACATTTTTCTTCATTTTTCTTGACTATAGAATTAATGTCAGGACTGAGCGATAATGTAAAAGATACTTTGCTGTAGCAGCAAAAAGGAGAAAAACTTGTAGATGTTATGGCCACAAAGAACTTTCAGATGTTGGCACTTAAATAAATGCGGTATTTTTTATCAGACGTTTAAAAGAACAAGTGCGGCGTTTAAATTTATGCCACTATACCAATGCAATTTCTTAGTTCGTCATTGAAAGGTAAATAAAATCGAGTGTCTGCTTACTCGCATGGCTTTCTTATTACATCTTTCTGGATCGAAGACATCCAGGATAAATATTCGGATTTTGACACAAAGAGTAATCCGTATCTTTCGGTATTTTGATGTACTAACTCCAAAGTTAGTATATTCGGTGATACCAATATCACCGGAAATATAACTTGGCGTCGATTTTCTTAAAAAGAAAAATCCAGGATATTTTCGCGCGCGCGGGCGCCTTTTTTAATTTTATGCTAATATATATATTTCACAAACAGTTAATTAAAATTTTTTTAAATTAGACAACTTTCGATACGTACATTTTGCATACCAAACTATTACGTTCAATGCGTTTCCTGTATAGATAAATTTTAATATTACGTGTTACGTAAAAATAAAAATCAAATGTATAACAAAGCAAAATAATATTTATGTGCATCGGTAAATACAATAAACATTAACAAAAGAAGATTAAAGTAAAAATCATAATTTTAAATGAGCGCCAACTGAAATAATAAATTCAATGTCAAATTAAATTCAAAATTGATTACTGATCCAACAAATTCGTATACCTTGATGTATTTATATGGATTTTTAACGATTAAAAATGTGTAGATGACAAAACTACTTAACATTTGTTTGCAGATATTTGATATATATATATCTGCAATATTTTCTATAATTATACTTTCAATAAGTAATGTTAATGACATGTTGTAAAGCATTAAAAAAATAACAGTTTATAGGATTATATTTTTAATTAATATTTGTACAACACATTTTAAGAATAACAACATACACTTAAAATTTATCTATTAAAACTTATCGAATTATTATCGATTTCATATAAGATTACTAGTTACAACATAAAAGTAACGAAGATTATGCCGCAGTGTCTCATCCGGATGGATAAACTATGTATAATAGTCTTTTTTTGTATGTACCATATAATAGTCGTGCTTTTTGCTTGTGTTCCTGTTTTATTGTACCATGCACGATCTGCATGCGTTGTGCGCGCTGTGCACGCGTATAACTTCATTACTAAAAAAAGACACAAGGTAAATCGTCTAGTCATGACTAATAAAGCGGAAAGGAAGAAAGCTGAAAACGCTTTGAGCGAGGAAGATCCATCCGGACGAGACAACAGGCATAATCACAATTGAACTTCACTCTGCGAGTTTGTTTGATTGTACAATTATAATAGCAGTCGATACAACAATTCCTATTTATATTGTTTTAAATGATAAATTTTCTGCACTTTTTCTTACGCATTATATTTTCTGTGGAGAATTAGGAAAAACTTAAGGTCGATTAAGTTTAACTATTTTCAAGTGTAGTCCGCCTTTTGGCATTAATAGGAATGTTCTAGGATCATTTACATAGGATATTGGAGTTTTCTCGCAAGTTTCAATTCGGTAGTTGCGTAGCATTTTTATAAGTCCAAGTTTAGTCTGATAAACAGCGAAACGAGATCCTGAAGATAAAGAAACGATTATAATGTAAATTAGATTCTCGATCAAAAACATTTTTAATCGGATAATATGTAATAAATTAAAAATATTTTCCAATCAAAAATGTCTTTCTGCACGAAAAGAAATGATAAAGGATATTTTAAATAATTTTATTATACCGATGCAATTCCTTGGCCCGTCACCGAAGGGTTGATAAACCATCGGGTGTCTGCTTTGTACAGCTTCTTCGTTAAATCTTTCTGGATCGAAGATATCTGGTTTTGGATAGAAATCCGGATCTCGTTGAATCGCGTAAATTGGAATCCATACTCTTTGGCCTTTCGGTATACTAACTTTAGTACCATTGAAAGTATAATTCGACATGGCTTGTCTCATAAGAAATGGTACTGACGGATACTTTCGTAATGTTTCTGCAAGTTAAGAATAGTGTTGAATAATTAACATGTTGAAAAACTTTATTTAATGAGAATATTAGGCAATTGCTGAAAAAAAGAAGATAACAGCGTCATAATAGTCTTCTTCAAACAATATACCTCTGAAGATTTTATTTAAATAATCCATTTTGTTTATATTGTCGTATGTTAAGTCTTGGCCACATTTTGCGTAAAGTTCATCAACTTCCTCGCGCAGTTCATCTTGCATTTTCTGATTTAATGCTAACTCGTACATGGCGTGGCTAATAGTAAGCGAGGAAGTTTCAAAGCCGGTAAGGAAAAATAGGAAAGCCTGAGAAGCTAATAAACTATCTGTCACTTCTGAAATGTAATATTTTCGTTAATATAAATAACTTGTATTAGTTTAGTTAACAATTCATATCTAATATTATTTTCGAAGTAAGATTAAAACCTTAAATATTCGGTCGAATAAAAAAATTAGTGTTATGGTAAAACTTAACTTCATTTTATTGTAACTTATAAAATGTATTTTAGACGCGTGTAAACTCGTATGGTCTCTTCTTCTGCAAAATAGTCCTCTTATAAGAGAAAAGAGTAACATATACATATACATACCAATATCACCCAATTTTTCTGGATGTTTTTTTAATTCGCGTAACATATCAATGAAGTCGTTTCTGGTGATACTATTCTTTTCTCTGTAAACCATGGTCTCCACGACAACGCGTGTGAAGAATTTGGTGCCTTCTGTTAGCGGAATAATTTTCGCGTACGCGAGCATATCGTAAAGCCGCGGAAACATTTGTCTGACTCGTATTCGTAATATATTTGTCCAAGTCGGAGTGGATTCTTTTCTACCCATCCTGCGAAATTCACTTTCTTCATTCGACAATGCGTTCATCTCGATGCCGAAGGCGCAGCTACCGATAACGTCGGTCGTATATTTCGCCGCTATCTCGCAGCAATCTACAGGTTCATTCTTGCTCGCTATGTTTTCCAAGTATTGGACAAGGTGGTCAGCGCATTCTAATATTAAGGAGAACATGTCTTTTATCTTGCCGGGTGTAAAAACAGGCGACAGGTTTATTCTCATCGGTCGCCATCTCTTCGGCTCTAACAAGAAAAGATGTTGCGAGAGCGGTTCGGCCTGTAGCAAAATGCAAATTGCAATCAAATAAATTATTACAATCATACTCTACGAACTTACAGAAAATGGTACACGGTTTTTGGAGGCAAATCTCATAATCTTTTGTTTATGTTTCATCATACGAAAGGTATAGAAGTATTCTTACATTTTCAGAAATGGGTACTCCTCTGTGAGAGAATACGGTAAAATCTTTGATAAGGATATCCTGAATTAAATCGGGATCCTTTACAACAAGATGAGGTGACGTTCTAGTGAATACTCCAATCATTGGTTCATCTTTGTAGGCATTGTATAGTTCTGTAAAATAATCGCCCATAGATATATTACTAAGCATAACGTCTTTGAAATTACCAAATCCCGGTATCGGTTTTGGACCACGAATGCCACGTGACTTCCAAAAGTTGAAATTTTTCGTGAGGTAATAATAAACGGCAAGAATTACGGCGACGATGCCGCACAGAATTTCATAAGGCCCCATTGTCCAGAAATTGTCGATCTTTATCGGTTTTTACTAAAAGAAAAAACATTCCATGACATAAATGACGGTGTCAATGTCGATCCGACATCGTTTCGACATCGATCGAAAAATAATTTCTCACTGGACACGTTGCAGTACTTCAAAGATAAAGCCACTAATACCGTGTAGGGTAAACCTTTAGTAAACGTTTAAACGTTTTTCTACAAATAAATGATTTTCTGGAAGAAATGTAAACGGATGAACGTTTTACGTTTAAACGTTTATTCGAAAAACGGAATAAAATCCGA